AAGACATTAAAGATTATATATATCTAAACGGTGAAAAATACCGTCCCCAAGATATATCACCAATTAACATTTTTAGCTTTGTTACACTCAAAAATGAGATCCTCGATTTTCTAGGATGGCCCTACTACATCTTAGAAAAATTGACTATTTTATACGCAATGTTTAACTTTATTGGATTTCTTTTCTCACTTTTAAAAGGAATCTACAACACATGTGCTATACACACACAAGTAAACAGACAAGCAAGCGTAGCACGCATACTCTTTGCAGGATTTTTTGGAATCTTTTCTACATCTATAAACAAAATTCTTTTAGACGCACAAATAAAAGAATATAACACAAAAATAGCAACACGACAAAATACATACGACGAAGAACATAACAATGTAGACATAACGCCAACGGCACCACAATTACCACCCCTACCAAATAACCATCCACTATCCCTAGTCCCACGAAATTTTCGAAATTTAGCCATCACACATAATCCAAATTTTCGACTCACCACATCACAAAGTCCCATCCAACATATAATGACACACCAGTCACAAGATGATAATACTTATGAACAAATTATTGAACAACCCCATACCACCGCTTTTCAATCTCAAAATAATCATTTTTTTAGCCCACGATGAGCCGCCAACTTGGATCACTACACCGATCAAATTCCCACCCAACCAATCTTACCTCTCCAATCCCAATAATACCACTTTTTGCTTTTCCGCCACCCGATTTTCCATCCAGTAATGTACCATCAGGCATGAATTCCGACACTAATTCACACATCTCAGTTTTATATTCCATCTCACAACTCAATAACCCGAATATTGAAACACCCGATGAATTTGCCGACTCAGAACCATCCCCATCCAATAATTTTAATAACTCTTCTAATTTTTCTCAACCCCCTTTTCAACCCATATTATCCAATAACCCTGACCCAATCACTCCCACACCCTCTTATGCTTCCCAAGTTACCCCAACCTACTCCTCATACCATTCTGACCAATCATCTCATTCTCCAGACACCCCCCGAATCTCCCCAGAGCTAGATAATTTTATTACCCTCCAACAACAACCCTACCACCTCCATACCCCAACAATAAACCAAATCTCCTCCACAATCAATTCATCCAACCCCCCTACCCCTACACCCTCTTCAAATTATACTGAATCATTAGCACCATCATCCACATCAACTGAATCTTCACACAATACTAATAGAGCTTACCGCACTTTTAAAAGAAAGTTCCCCAACCATCCTTTCCCAGCAAAACCAGGAACAGCCCGTGAATACATCAACCACCCCAAGCATACTAACACAAAAGAATTTTTAGCCATCACCTTACCCTCATTCCCACAATACACCTTAAACACCCCCCACGACACTAACGAAACACGCAACTTTGTAGATGATTACGTTTTAATGCCCACTCTCTCTTGGACCTCATATTATCATTTTACTAACCCTCTTTGCTTACCTTTATCTAACACTCAAATCGATATAGAGCGAAATACGGACATGCTATATCGACTCACTACACCACTAACCGCTAGACAATTTACTTACGTTGGATATAAAAAATCACTAAAAACACACACTGCACCTAGAGCTAACGAATATACACTCGAATACTATGATCACAACATCATCAGAGCTAACCAAGATCAATTCTTAGACGACGATCGCTTCGCTAACCCACAAATTATCGAGAAATTTTTCATCAAGACACCATATATATTTACACTAAACATCTTCGACCGAAAGTTTGATCACATTATTTCAGAAGCACTAACAGACACACAAGCATACGAAAGTTTTAAAGAACGCTTCCAAATATTTTCACTAACCTTTCATTTCCTTGCACCACACGAAAGAGATTTACACTGCTCACACGATATTATGTTGCGCACTAAACAAACCCACACATATAGTTATTATCGCTTCATCCAAAATCACTTTGACCTACACACACCCTCTAGACAACCACACCATCGCTTTCAATTCATTAATTCCAAATACACTTCACCATTTTTCCTAAATTTCACATATTGCATTAAAGATACTAACCTTCATGGTATTCTTCGCAATTATGATCCCATAACCCAAATGTACATCTTCTGTCCCATCACCAAGACCTTCAACGCCGAAGAATCCCGACCCTTCCTTATCCCGCACGAGTTTGTACAACCTATAGAAATCCCAATTTTAGAATTCATCCACAACACTAAATTCAATCACAAATTATATAATCTAATCCAAAACACACCTTATGAGTTTGCAGTTGGCACTGAAGAACTAACCACTATTAAGGCACTTCAATTGCTTTGGCCACTGCTTCAGACTAAAAATATCATCCGCATCTTAGCTAAACTACTAACAACTTCAGAACTAATTCACGACATGTTCCCCCACGGTTTTTTCCCCGACGACTAACAGGTAAGTATGAATTAAATGAATATTACTAACTAATTAAAATATTAAAAAACTCACCATACTTTACCCATGTTTTCTTTAGATTTTTAGCCTTCATCCGACAATCACCTACAAAAACCACAAAAGACAAATAAAAATCGCAAATTTCATCAAACAGATTTCAAAAATTCTATTACTCTCTTACACTTATAAATTTATAAATTTAATACCAATGCAGTAAATTCATTTCTAAAATTTTCCCCACAAGCAGTAAATCTAATTATGATGATAATTTGTAACTTAAAATTCCCCCATAACTAGCAGTAAATTTCCAAATTCTATGCAGTAAATTAATAAAATGCAATTGCAGTACTAACCTTTTGATATTCTCATTCATTCGCACAGAAATTCTATCCACACTCGCACAGCTCGCCCACGAAGAATTGTTTAAAATAATGAATTTCAATTTCAAGTTTTCACACTCAACAACTCTAACATATAATAACATGTTTGAAACTTTCCTTTAACCCGGTTGGAAAGGAATCATATACTAAACAAAACTAACCAACGCAGCTTACTAAATACCACAAATCATAGAATAACAGCATGACTAAGAAAAGGAAACCAACGGTACCCAAACCGGATTAACCCAGTTTAAAACTGGATAATTTATTCTTTTGAAGACTATTATAAAGTCTAAGAAAGAAATAATAAAACACAAAAAAGTCGAAAGACAAACCCATACCACGAACAATTTGCTTTTTGGAAAAAGGACATAACCAACAAGACATAAGAAAATTCACAACAAACCCAACATAAAACGTTGTCACATAACAGGACCCCTCACAAAAACCGCATGAAATCATACTCCCACTCCTGGCCTAACCCACCAGGAAGGACGTCCTGAGCATGCTCTATAGCCGGCCTAACCCACCGCGCTACATCCACGCTTTGTGACCACACCTCTATTTTTAATAAGAGCTACTCAAGTGTGAGTAACTCTTCAAAATAACCGAACTAAAACAAAAAGCTTTTGTGAAAACAACTAACTAAAATCATAATTAAAAAATATTAAACTAATAAATGTTTTATAAAATGTAAATTACATTATGCAATACATAGATCAGAATACAACACCAAGGACGAACATCTAAAGACAAAACGACCCCACTACACTCGAGAGAGAATGACCAACCACAATCGATATGCCACTCACAATCACAACTCAAAGGATTTAGAGTACGACTTGACTTCGCAGAAAAGGACTTCATTGAACTAGACCAATGACCACCTCGATGTTCAAGTATACGTACAGATCCGAGTAACCAGGCATCCCCTCCACGCACAATCTCCACGCCATTCCCAAACTAGATCAGACACAAAAGAAGTTCTCCACGCAGAACAGAAAAACCTGACATAGCCAACCATTCTGAAATCAGATTTGAGTTTGTTGCAAAGACTTAGTCGTTGTCACTAGAAGACTCAACGTCTTATGTCTCTAACTCCAGCTTCCTGGAACTTCTTTAACAAAGAGGAAACAGAAGAAATATGATGTTCGTCAAACACCAACGTCCATCATCCATCCTTCGAATTGCAGAAGAACTATTCTAAAAAACTCTGTAAAACCCGGATGGGTGGAACCTGATCTAAACTACATTTTATGATTGGATAAATTAGATATTTTACCAATGTAAAGTATTTAATATTAACCAATCATGATCCATCTAACTAACAACCCACTTATTTGTAAGTGCTGAAGTTACTTGTAATTTCAGCACCAGAGAGATTTGAATTTAACTTAGAAATTAGTTGGACTCTCCCGAGTACTTCAGCAGCCGCAATAAACCAGTATACCCTAGATCTATTGAGCCTAGCAGAGACTAGTTAAACAACCTGAGACTAGATAGTATAAGAGTAAGATTAGGATCGGTATTAGACTAAGAAGTTGCACGAATCTATCCGGCCGAAAATAAGATAGCGTGACGAGCAGACGGTGTACCCTATCCGAAATTACTCTATGAGTTAACCAACTCGGTCCTAACTCACTAGAAAAAGAAACTAAAGTATATAGTATATTCAACCATATTAACATATATTGTTTCCATATCAGAGATTATTCAACAGACAACTGCCAATTTACATTACTCTGATATGTAATGTTATCAAAAGGCCAGCTTTAGGCCTAGTCAAGTGGCGCTAATTAAGTGCATGATCCTAATTATGGTAACCTGTTTGTAAGTAGAAAAGTGGCAAGGAAATATTTAAGATCATTTATCCACGAGGGATAGGACCAACATACAAGCTGTACAGCTCATCACGGCGAACCGCTGTTGTGCCCCTGCTTAAGAACTACATGCAGGAGACCCAAATAGGGAGTCTATATGGGTCTTTTTACTTATTCCGCCAAAATAACCTAACAACGCATCATGTTCTAACTGGACGATTGCTCGAACTATGCGCTTCTGTTGTTTAAATTTTCAACCAATCAGAATTGAGCATTTTGTTTTCTGCTATCATATTTTAAGAGTTACAATTTTGGGCGTATAAGGTAAAATCTGAAATAGGGGGTCTTCTCACTAACCAATACTGACGTTGCCCCCTGGTATTAGCAGCCCATTAACCCTCTTGTAAACCTCTCTGTAATAGTCATCTGACTGGTCCATCAACACAGGTACAACTCTCAAACCAGCTTGTTCCATCCATTTCACATACGTGGCCCATAACACGTAACGACCACTCTGTTGTCCTTTGGGCTCGTAGATGTTGTCCTGTTAATCAAGGGCTACAGGAATGGTCGAGATTGCATCAAATTTTTTTAGTTGTATAATTTAATTGAAAATTGCACAAAAAAGGGGGAAAATCATAAAGGTTAAAAGGAGGTGTCAGTAAACATACACGGACACTGTTTCTTATCGAGAGCACCAGCAAATTTGATTTCGACAATTTTTTCTATTTTTTCTCAGCCTCAAAGAGCTAAATATCTTTTCTTATATGTTTTTTTTCTGTAAATGATAGCATCTTTCAGTAGAGAAAATGGCACCAAAAATCTTCAAGAAAAAAAAAACAAAAATTGAGAGATATAAAATCACTATTTACCATAACCAAGAGCCTTTTTTTAGGAAAGAGCATGTCATTTACCGAGGAATTCAATTCATTTTCCACATTTTTAAACTCTTTTTGACACCCATTTTTGATTGACCGGCTCTAAGTTTTGTATATAGTCAGTAATATATACTAAGTTTATCTTCTTTAAAAAATTTACTAAAAATTTGGAATTTCTTAGTGATCTCTTGGCTGTTAATAACTGGGGCAGAGACAATAAACACATAATTAATACCTCGAAATGCCTTATTGGAAACTTTGGCAGGACAATTTTTGAGGAAGGTTTTGGCAGGGAAACGCTTCTGATATCACTATTTCTGCAACAAAAATCCCAGTTAGAGATAACTTTAAGTATTTTGGAGTTTCTGAGGACAAAAATTTAAACTAGTAAGCAAAGACTTGTTGACTATGTTTGTTGCAATTTAAGCAATATCAATGGTGCTATTTACAGAGCCCAATCTGATTTCTCGAGGAACATTTATTCTTTTCTTTAAAAATAATTTTAGCTTAAGATTGCTGGGCGAAGATTAACCTCAGAAAACTTCTGATGATGCAAAAGAGATCGTCAAAACAACTTTTTTCAAATGCCACGATATAATACCGTTTGGGACTGTAATTTCACAATTGTTTCTGTTTTACGTTTTAATCATGTGTGAAAGAGACTGAAGATGAAATCAGAAATGAATCGCATTTCATTTTTAGACTCTAAAACTGGACCAACTACTCGCGCTCATTGCAAAAAAAAGTTGCTAGCTAAACTAGCCTAACTCGGAAACAAGTAATAAAAAAATCGATTGTAGTGACTAAAACTAATTTTTACATTTTTTGAGCTTTCAATGAATTTTGTCTTCTTTTCCCCCACCCCTTTTAAGCATCAATTTTATGATGTAACGAGTGATCTTACAAGGTTTATTATGAAGACTAAATGCTTATTTTTTATTTAAGGCCATTAATCCACGAGGGAAAGGACCAAAATCCTTTTCATGGCATGATTAGTCGTCATGACAATGTGTGGACAACTCCATGATTCGAACAATTTCTTCTTCGGTTTTTCGAAGAAAGTTGGAAGATGTTGGAAAAGTTCAGTTTTTCTTCCAACATTTTTGCTTCCAACCTTTCCCAAATTGCCCAAAAACGGCTTTTTTACCTCGTGTTTTCTTATTGAAAAATTGGTCTGTTTAATTTTTCGAGAGCACTCAAACAAAAAAAATTAGTCGACGCTAAAAAAAGCTGATGGCATTTTCGATACTTCTTTGAGAAGCCCCAAACCATAGCAAAAAGGGTAGATCCGCGCCTGATCATAAGGACTAGTTCAAAACAAACTCAAACGTGAACTGAATCCTATTCAACATGTGACAATTCCTGCCTGGGTCAGAATTCCCACAACGGGTACGTAGTTTGGATCTGGTAATGGGCAGAAGTTGTGATGAACCTCATCAGCAGTAGGTATTAATTCAAAGTAATAATTAACAGAAAGATAAACAACACAGCTGAAAGTGAACGCTAAAAATGCTGAAAACATGGCCACTGCAAAGTTACGCATTTTTATTATAATGAATCTAAAAAGCTCTCAGTTAGTTGACTGTAATGTTTTTTGATTGATTAAAAACAAATCAATGAGGCGTTGCTCAGACAGCTACACAAATTCTGGTTCTAAAAAAGGTAATTCTAAGATACATTTATGTACATTATGTGTTACACAAAAAATATAGAATAAATATGCTAAAGTGAATAAGAAATGCGTTCAAAAATGTTACGCAATTTGTGAAACTGAAAGAAATTTTAGAAGATTAACAAAATTAAAAACGCAAAAATTTTATCATTTATTTGATAAATGGTGAAATTAAAGATAAAAATGCCTGTCAGTCAAAGTTTTGCACGCTAACTTGGCCGCAATAATGATATTAAAGATAACTTTGTTGGAAATGAATATTATTGCCTGAAGCGTGAAATCATTCAGCATAACATTGTGGTGAATCTGCAGCTTCAAATACATGTGGTAAAATTTAAGTTCCTCTAAATTCAAACCATCGCATTTTGCATGGTATATCCTTTCATTTGTTACATACATACTTGCACAGAAATATGTTTTCTACGGGTCTAGGACAACAAGCCGACGGGACTTCAAGCGGAAGGGACTTGATGCCGAAATTAAAACTTTACAAGCACCTCAAAACACTATTTTATCATCTGTAAAACGTTATTTTTCAAAAATTTTGGCAAGTTTAATCCATGATAAATGTTATTCATGACAATGCACCACTTGTGATTGGCATCCGTTAATAACATCAGCCGGTTTTTGAAATGCATAAATTATAAACATAAAAAATGCCTTCAACCATGTTTTACTTTTCAACTTTCCGAAACATCATTTGGAGGCTTAAATTTTATGAAAACGCCGATAACTAGTAAAGAAAGATCGTGAAAATCAGAAATTCTTCAAAAAAGTTTTCAAATTAATCATATTTCACGACTTTATAAAGAACTATTCGGCTTGAAGTCCCTAATTTTACGATTCGGCTTGAAGTCCCGTCGGCTTGATGTCCGGCACCCGTTTTCTACTCAAGCCTAATTTTTACATATTTAGAGAGCATTTTAAATCATGCATTCCATCAGAACAGATACGGGGACTTGGTCAAAGGAACCCCCTTCCTCCCCCTAAAATCTAGTGACCGCTGCCGCCGAAAAATTTACTGGCAAAATTTGGAAAAAAAGCCAGCATTTTATCCGCCTTAAATTGCTGGGAACATTTTTTAAATGTTTTTTTTTTCTACTTGTTCTTAGGAAATAGTTTGGTTTTCTCGGTTTTTTGATAAATTTGCAGTTAGCAACGAACAAACCATAAATCTAATATGCGAAGTACTCAAATAATTGTTTAATTTCACGACAACTTTTTTAATCGGTTGCAACCAAAAAGACCTATTTTGCCGGCACTTCCTCCCCCAAAATCGAAATAGCGGCCCAAGTTGACAAAAAAGGCTAAAAAAATGTTTGTCACCAAAATATGTCACTTATACGTATGGGCATAGGTGCATTAAAGGGGAACTTTTTAGAAAAAAAAGTCGTTTGAAAGCGAGTAGTCTTTTTTCTCGGGTGTGTTTTAGTTTTTTAAAACTTTTTCCACCCGCAAAATTTTCATCCAAATGAGTCGAGGGATATGAGCTAATTAAGCTCTTTCAATTCTGACGCGAAGAAAATGACAAATATTCGTCCTCGAATTGCATTTTTTCCTCCAGACCAATTTTTATTTTTATCTAGCCTTTTCCGGCAAAAACTGCTATACCATCTGAAAGGTATTGATGTCTTAAGCTCAGATTTAAAAAAATATTTCACCTGTGATCCTGTTTCGTGAATTGATGGGGTCTAAAGAGTGTAAGTTTGGGACACTTAACGCGCAATTTGTTTGGTGATACTAACGTATCAGCGTCTGTTAATCTGGCTCAAAATTTGTTCACAATTGAACTGAGGCATGCTATTTTTTTATTAAAACATTACTAAAGGTTAAATTATCACTTTATATTCCAAATAGCGTGCGGGCGGATGAATTTTACAGAATTTACTTTTCATTTGATTCCATTTTTTTTGTTTTTTCTTAAATTGAATAGATAATGAAGGACAGTCAGAAGATTCAAGGCGTCGCCCTGATTGAATTTTTTTGGCTTTTGAATTCTCGCCTCAGCCACAGGCAACGAACACAGTATGCGGACGACCTCATATAAACGATCTTAATGATGTTTTTGTTTACTGAAACCTTATAGAGTTGTTATTTTAAGTTTTTTTTTCTAAAAGCTCTTCCAAAATCCAAAAACTAATGTACAAAGTTTCACGCTGCTGAGTTTTTCTACTGTTTTTTGTTGTTTACGCGAACTGATTTTATATATTTAGCTTAAACGTTTGTTTCTCGGACTAACTTGTATCATGTTTAGCAATTCCTTGTGCTTGTGAACCAAAATTGAAAAAATTATTTTGATATGCATGCATAGTCCTTCAACAAAAACGGAAAAATATGTTCAGGCCAATTGTCACAAATTTTTGTTATAACTTTTCTACACTCTTGACTAACAAAAAAAATTGAAGTTTTTGATGCTAAAACGCTTAATCCACGAAAGCATGGACCACCATACGAACTGTTCACCTCTTTACAGAGACATCTTGTTGTGCTCTGCCTAAGATTACATACAAACATTTTCCGACTTTTGAAGAAAGTGATCAAATGTTTGTGCTCGGTGGTCGTTTTCTTCAGAAGTTTTTAACTAGCCGTGTATGAACATATTTGTTTACATTATCCGAAAAGTTTTGATGTCTTGACTATGAAATGACTTTTCACATGTGATCATGTTTCATAAAATTATGGGACAGGCTATTACATCTGAGAGTAAATTCAATCACTATTAGAGATCTTTCCAAATTGAATTGAGGCATGCTCTTTGAAATATTTAACGTTTCTGCTATGTGATAATTATTTTACTTAAAATATTACATAATATGTGAGGTGATGGTTTTCAAAAACAAGCTCAAATGTTGTTCTAAGTTTTTTCATTTTTTTAAAGCTTGTTAATTTTCTGAGAGCGAGCACTCCTCCATTGACATTAAAAGACAGTAAAAGCATTCAGGGCTCCACCATGATACAATCAGTTTTGTTAATTTATTGTTCCGATTTTTTCGAAGAAAGTGACAAAATGTTTGTGCGTGGGTTGTTTTATTATCTAGACCAATTTCTGCTTTTTAACGTGCCGTTTTGCCAAATCTTTTTATACCGTGTAAAAGCTATTAGAGTCATGAGTTCAAATTTGTAATTATATTAGCCTATGAATATTTTTAGTAAAGTTTTGGGGGTTTAAAGTTTTCCATTATGGGACAGTTAACGAGCATTACATTTCGTGCTGTTAACGAGTAAGAGATTTATTCCGTCTTAGAAATGGTTCTAAATTGGTTGAAACATGTTTTGTCATGACTGCTACGTTACTAGGTGCAAAATGTATCATTTTATTTTTTGTGGCGTGTGGGGACAATTTGAAAAGTTTTTTCTGAACAATTTTTCATTTTTGTTTGAAAAATTTATCAATTTTGTAAAAGGAACACCGTTCCATAAGCAATTTAAAACAATCGGAACATACGGTGCTTCGCTTTGATACGAGTAGTTTTGTTCGGTTTTGGTTTTGAGAAACAACTGTGGACAATTAAGGCCAATGCTAACTTTTTAAGCACTTTTTAACTTTGCAATCAGTCTTGCTCATACAAAAAAACGGTTCGTTTTGAAAACAAACAAAACTGTTTTCTAGCTTTTTTTGAACAGCTGAGATCGGAACATTCTGTGCTTCTAACAAACAACCGGCTACTCTTGCCTAAGTTAGGTTTTGTCTTTAACAAGTTATTATTAGTTGTGCCATAAAGTCCAGGAAACCTATTTCTAGTACCCGTTTGAACGGATGAAATTGATTAAAGACCTATTGATAGCTGTCTGGCGGTAAGGCCTTCAACGATCTCGATAAGTTTCTAGAAAACGTTGAGACAATTGAAACCATGTCTATCTTTTATAATTCAAGGTAAAACGTGAAAAGTTAGTTTTATTCCAGTAGGACAAATTATGCAAATTCTTTTAGTCAACTTGTTCAGAAAAAGGTTTCGTAAAAATTAAAAAAAATAGCAAAAATTTTGATGAAATTTTGAAATTACATTAGTTATAAGCAATGTAAAATGCTCAAAAAGCACACTTCTAAGCTTGTATGATGACGGACATCAAAACACTAATTAAGACTTCGTGAAAATTGTTTGAAAGATGAAGCAGAGTCGAAACTTTTTTTTGCTATGACATTTTCTGTCTACTTCTAAGAAAATTTTCGCTATAAGGTGTAACAGTAATTTTCAAAAATGAATAATGAACAAAGTTACAATAAACAATTGTTGAAACTTGATGAACCTTCAAAAAAGATTACGTTTTCAACATTTTCAAAAAATTTGGAACTTGCAGTTGAATTTGATATTTATTTTGAGTTTAAATATATTTGACCTCTACTTGAATTGTTGAAAGTAATTGGCTGTTTTATTGACTGTTTTATATGAAAATTTTGGATGCTTATGCGTTTGTAAATGGTGATCATAATTGAGTGTTTTTTGATGATTATGGATTTGTAAAGAAAGATGACATAGATTGATTGTGGGTTTGATAACCAGTCTGTTTGTTCTAGCATGTTCGCAAGAGTATTGAAATTATTCCAGAGAAAAATAAAAATTTTTTCAAATGATGCAATTTTTTCAACAGGATGCAAGAAATGTTTCAATCAGTTTTACAAGCTGGTGAAAGTGTTTCAATTTCTCGAACAAGATTACAAAAAACAATAAAAAATTAATGAATAAATGCGAATTTTTTTTTCTTCTGTGCGAAATTTTTTTCTCCCTGAGATCACTAATCAATGATCAAGTTTCTCAATTAATGTGCAATTTTTATATCGGTAAAGTACCTTGTATTCAAAATTTTAATTGGTTTTCAACCAATTGGAATAATACAGCCAGAACTACCCATTTTTTCCCAAAAATTTTTCAATCGCAAAAAACATAATCA